TCAGCTGAATACATTGACCTTTGTGGAAATCGCCCTCTAATTCGAATCAGGCTTTCGAACCGTTTACAGATGAAACTTGTTTCTTTTTCTCTCCCTCCGTCTCTCGGTTCTCTTTGTCCATGCAAGTTTTGTGCAGAAGAGTCAGATGACGCTGACACTTTTGTGTGTGAGAGTGGAAGTTTGTCGTGTCTTCATTTTGTGTCTTCTTAGATTTGTGTATCTCTGCCGTGCTCATTTGTGAGATGGTGTGTGCACCTATGTAAGTCAGTGTGCACAGACTTGCTTGTGAGTGCGAGTGATCCCTGGTTTTATCTCTGTGCCGTAACACAGAGAAGAACAGAAACTTTTCTTATTACCGGAGAGAATGGTAGAATAGCAGGCAGCTAAGTCTCTGTCTATCTCTGTCTCTCTCTCAGCAGTGTAGCTGACTCCCCAGTGTACTGCGGGTCTTCAGTAACTCTGACTGAAGTTCAGAGGGGTTAGGTAGTATACTCAGGAGGAAGGGGGAGGCAGGGGGAGGAAGACAAGGAGGAGGGGGGGTTAAGTAGGATTGGAACAGTGGCAGTTTTAAAACAGAACTTTAAATCTCCACCTACGAGAGAAAGAGAGAGAGATAGAGGGAGGACAATGGCGTCATGTTGTGTGCCGTTATCTCCGGGTCCCTGAAAGGCGGGAGAGACGAGAGGATGAGAATAAAAAAGAAGCTTGAAGAAGGGCATAAATGTGATAACAGCTATAGGCTGTATAATCTACGCCGCTTTTCAGGGAGGTGTGGAGAGAGAGAGAGAGAGAGAGAGAGAGAGAGAAAAAAAAGAAAAAGTCAGATCTTGGTGACCTTCAGATTGTAAGTTCACCAGAGCGGCCTTTCACTCACAACAACACCAAATGAAACAGAGGAGGATTTGCGAGGTGAATGGATGAATGGATGACTGGGTGGATTTGGCAGATACAGAAACAAACACAGCAAAAGAACAAATAGATCTCAGAAGCTTAGGCGAGGATGAATCCCGCGCGCCAGACCATTAGTTAGTCAGTAATCTTCATGGTTTTCTTTTTTTTTAAGGACGATAACGTTGTCCATCATTTGAGGTTCTGAGGTGTGGGAAAAAAAAACCTTTTGCTGAGGATGTGATACAGGACTCATCCGCCTCACAGTCGCTCCATCAGCTGGCGGGGAGAAGGATGGAGTGGATAACCTTCAAAATGTGACAAATCTTGATGTCAGATGCATTATTTATCTCAGGAATGATAAGCTTAATTTAGCAGCTCTCCAACCAGGCCCCCGATACTGAGAGATGTTACAGTATTTGTGTTCGATCATTCAAATGGGCTAACAACAGTTTGCCTGTTCCTGGGCAGTTTATTATAATTTAGAGATGACACCGCCTCTTAATTTTACGGAGGTTGCGCCAGATGCTCTCTCTGTCAGGGGATGACATTCACCACAAATTCCAAACAACATATTCATTTTCAGTGCTGAGAAATGTCAGTTAGGCTTGTTTGTCCTAGTCTGCACTATGTTAGACTGTGTTGTGGATGAATAACGCCCCCTACTGGCCGGTTAGGGGGAAGTAAAAACAGCTTTAAAGCATCTGAGGAGAAATTCAGGTAAGAAACCAGGATGCATGGACTTCATTTCGATGTAAAATTGATGTGATGCTGAAGTGATTTCTGATTTATTTCACATTTGTTAATGAAAAAAACATAATCACAGCTTTCACAGAATGTCCTTTTAGAACCAAAAGTCAAAGCCTCTACTGTTTTATCATGGATGTGTTCTGATTTTTAAAACTTAAGTTGCAGCAGTGGACTCACGTGCAAATTTGTGACTCTCAGCTTCCATGCACCCTCCCACAAACCGCACTTTTCTCCATCTTTCTCTGCGGGCTACCTGTAATGAATCTCCATACATCCCACTCATGCTGCTGCCTCTGTTGCAAAGTTTGAGAGAACAATAAAGACCCTGGCCACAGCCCACCACCACCACCACCGCTTTCCACCACCCATTCCTCACCTCTCCTGCAGCTCATCGCCTTCACCTCCACACGCATGAAAAGACTGATCTGTTCATGCCACTGCTAATGGCGGGGACATTATTCATCTCTCCAGCCAATTTGAGCTCCCTTTTCTTTCAGGAATAAGCGGCACCAGGGGTTGAGAGGAGTCAGCGAAGAGTATTAAATATGTAGAGGAAGATGGACAAAAGGAGCGGTGGAATAAAGAGGGGCAGCAGAGGTGGGAATGGAGAACAGGAGGTTTGTGGCGACAGTGTAAGACCAATTTATTCGGTGAGAGAATGTGTGGAAAGGAGAAAAGAAGGAGAGTTGTCTTTGGCTGATGTGACAGGTGTTTGTGAGCTCTCAGTTTTGACCTTTAAGGCCGATGCCACTTTAACTGTGTGTGACTGACTTTTTAACACTGGACTGAGCTCCAATATAGATCAACTGAACATGATTTAAACCGGAAGTATGAAATCAGACAAGATGGCAAAATCTTAAAAATTGAAGGATAAGTGGACATCTCCGTTCCAGAGGTGTCCCCAAAACGTTCAAACATGCCCAGATTTACTGTGTTGATGATTTATGGATCTAAAATCAATGTTGTGTCATGGTGCCATCTTCATTAGAGGCTTTTTGATGGCAGGCCATCAGGTCCCACTGGAGTACGCCTGCAGAAGCTATAAAAAGTGTCTCCAATTTTCCATCCATTTGGTAAAAGACAGTATTTTTGGTGTCAGTTGCAGTGTGCTGTCAGTGGAGGATGTACGAGGAGTGGCCCGGGCAGGAGAGATCATAAAGCAGGCCGTGATTGACGGTATCTTAATGGAGGAGGATGGATCAATAAGTAATATCAGCAGGTTTTAATTCCAGGCAACACACATAAACCTTTACCAACTTCGCAATGTCACTCAGTGTTCATAAAGTTTTCTCCACATCCCATCGGACAAAAAGAGATGAATCCATCAAAAAAGTCGCCTCAGTTTTATGGTCCTCCCTCCCACCTCTCTTCTTTCCCTTTTTTCACCCCCCCTATCTCCATTTTGATGTCTGTCTATTAGCAAAGGGTGAGGCCTTTCCTGCTCTCACATCCAGGGGCTAAATTAGCTCAATCAGCCCCCTTTCACCTTACTTCCATGGGCTTCAAGCTGAGTGACACACTGCTCCCCTGGGAAGGAGGGAGGGAGGACTCACACAGACACACACACACACACACACACACACACACACACACACACACACACACACACATATATGAAGCCTATAGTGGCCTGAAGAAGACTATGGAGGGAGTGGGGGGAGGCAGCAGGTAGGGGGAGAAGATAGGATGAGAAGCAGGAGGAATGAAAAGCAGGATTGGAGGAAAAAGATAATGAAGCTTCATTTATTCCCTACTCTGATAGAGGATACATCCACAGCTCTGATGGAGCTCCATGTTTGCTGCTTGTTGAACACTATATTTAAAATGTCACTCTTCCTCACCTCTCTGCAGGTCAAGGTGGTTATCACTACAAACACACCCACAACCACCAGAAAAAGAGGAGATGAGAGTTCCTCCGTGTCTCCACCGCCCAGCACAAGCAACAGTTCCAGGCTGAACTCTGCGTTCCTGTGCCAAAATCGCTTAAATTGCACCTTCATGTTTGATTTGTCTCAACCCTTCCCCTCACTCTCCTTCTCACTAAACAGCCACCCAAGTGTCAGTGGAAGTGCAAGGCAGGCACTTCTGCGGTATGTAATGTGTGTTGGGGGTGGGCGAAAAGGTGGTGATCGGAGTGAGCCATAAGATCTACTCTTTGCAGCTCTACAGGGATTTATTAGACTGGGGAGTACATTAGCATCATAAAGACCCAGGCGAATGGGACTGTGGATGGGCTGCAGACACCACCACTACACTTTAACATGCTCTGCGGCACCAGTCAGTGTGTGTGTGTGAGTCTGTGTGTGTGTGTGCGTGTGTGGATGAGGAATAAGATTACCCTGATTTAACTTAAGAAAGGCTGTTAAACGGTTTATGGATCATCCTGAAGCAGCCGTGGACTAATACATCAGGAGATGATGGAAAAAGCTGCGAAAGAGGAGGAAAGAGGCCGACAAAAGATGGAGGCAGGTGAAATATATGAAGGCCACTGCCCCAGAGAAAACACGGTAATTTTACGAAACTGGCAACAATGACTTTCACCAGTCGGATGGGGATGGGATTTTATTTTGTAAGAAGTTTAATTCACCAGGGCAAAACAAGAGTCAGTATCTGCAGCCACTGACAAAAAATCGCAATGTGCATCAACTCTGCCTTTGTGAACAAGCAAGAGAGAGATTATGTTCTTAAGTAGTATTATAGAGGTCAGTTGCACAGCAGCTCAGCCCTTTACTGTTTCTGCTGTAAAAGACAGTGGAGAGTTAAAGGAGACTGTCCTCTGTACAATAGATCTCTGCTGCCCCCTGGTGCAGATATAATGTAATAACATTTGATGGTGTTGAAGCTTTTTGACAGGAACGAGAACCTTGCATTGACTTCCATTCATTAGAAACTAAAACTGAATTAGTGTTTTATATGTATATTCTGATTGGCATCAGCCCCCCAGACATGTTTTAAGATAGACTCTTAAGTAATAAATATCTCAACATCAATAAACTACATGGAACAATCTTACAAGGTTATTGATCCCTTCTTCCTCATCTATAAATCAACAATATGTTCCTAGTGTTCATTTTTAAGTTTAATTACATGACACAATATGTCTTTCATTTCACTGAAAATTATCTGTGCACAAAGTGTGCTTGTGTTTTCTAGTCACTTCTAGTAGTTGGATACTGGAGCACCTTCCATATAAGTGGTGGTGCCACAGAATCCCCTTGTAAGTAAATATCACCTTAATCTTGCAGGGACGTGAGTTTCTTCCCTAAATGAACAAACTCTTCCTGTCCCCACATCAGGGATATACAATAAAGGGAAACACAAACACAAAATTCACATTAATAAAAACAAGAAAAGCCAGTGAATGTTTCTGGTAAAACATTTTATATTCTCAATAAAATCAGAGCCACTTTTCCCTGTGTAGTTTCCTCTGCAGAGTGCCCTCTAGTGGGAGAGTAGGGGAGGCCCGAGCAGCTCTTTGGAGTGTTGGCTTGGTGACAGTACAACAGTCAAAACTGTGGCTAAGAGAAAAGGCACATCTCTGGTAGGCAGACGGAGATATGATATGATCTATGATACAGCTCCAGGGCAACTTCTCGGCTCAGAGTTTATGGGAAGTCAGTCGTCCTTCCAGTCTTCAAAGAAGCCAGACTCAGGGGAGAAGGAGGCACAGCGAGAAACGCTGACCTGCTTCAGTTTACCACTAGTAAAAGCACACATTCATAAAAAGAGCAATTTGAACTTAATGAACTCAAAAAAAATCCCCTTCCATTTACGTCTGGCTCCAAATTTTAATGTTGAAAGAGAGAGAAAATAAAATCCAAATCACGTAAAAAAAAATGGCATCATAAAATACATCATCTCTTCATCTCTTTAGTTTGTTGAATTTTGGAAGTTTATAAACCACTCCCCGCTCTTTCCCCGACAAAACATTGGCTGGCTGAACGTCTGTACAGTGGACTTCTTGAAAATGGTAACTTTTGGAATAAAACTAAAACAACAAATACAAATAAAAATACATTTAAGTGGCTTAGCGTCATAAAATATCTGAAATAAATCTTATTTCATAATTCTTCCATGTACAAAGTTCAAAAACAATAATATACTTTCCAGTGCTTTGGGGGATAAAATAAACAACAAACTATATATTAAAGAAAACAAACACTTATTTTAATAAGAATAAAAAATCACCTTCAAAGATTTTTTCTACTTTTATCAGTACTGATCATAAGCTATGTCAAATCAAAGCCAAGCCCCGGGTTTACCACAGCAGAGGCACAGGTCAGGTTTCCCTCCACCTGCTCCAGTCCTGGCTGTGTTGACAGTGGGTTAACAGACTCCCTGTGTGTGGCACATTGAACAGCAGGCCTGTGATTTACCTCTGCAGCTGGGAGCTTCACTCAACTCATCAGCAGGAGAAGCCAAAGCACAGGGGACTTGTTAATGTGCTGAACTGAGAACAGCTCAAAGCACACTTCAGTGTATGTATGTGTATGTACGTGCGTGCATATGCGTGTCATATGTCTTATATGCATGTTAGTTTGTGAACCAAAGCGTGTGAATGCATGCAAGTGTGATTTTCCAGTGAAGACTTCAACCACTGCTGCTGGCAGTGGAGACAAATCATCTCTTTCTCCATCTCTCTCTCTCCAGTATCAAACCCTGTCACTCTATCTTTCCTTCATCTGGGCCTCTGGTTCGAGCCCTGCAGAGTCGCTTCAGTGACAGAAGCATTAACTGTTCATCTACTGCATTATTATTGGTGACACTAAAGCTTTTACAGGCATAACCGAACTTGATATTATAACCAAAATCCCTGGTCTAACCTATAAAACACGGGGAGCAGCAGCTGCACAAATCACAAAGGCACAAAGATCAAAGTTGTGGCCCCGAAACAGTTCAGGTTAACATCTGCTTCTATGTAAAAAAAAACGATCCTGCTCGTGTATCGTGTTACAGTACCTGAGTATTTTGACACCTCACAGATTCTGATGAGACTATTCGCAGACCATCAAATGGTTTTCTTTCTTCACACATTTTGTAGTGTGTGTAAAAATGTCAAGATGGTAGAAAGAATTCAAGGTGTAGAAACGGAGGGACAGCAGTGTGTGTGTGTGTGTGTGTGTGTGTGTGTGTGTGTGTGTGTGTGTGTGTGTGTGTGCAAAAATCACCTGACAATCAATAAAATAACTAAAAGTGGGAAAGATCCTCCGCTCAAGATAAATTAAGTATGCAGGACCATGAAGCTATTTCCATTTTATTCACTATCGTTCATTCAATCATTTATGGTTACTAAAAGAGGTTGATGTAAAGGGGAAAATAACTTGTCCTCCATCAAGTGAGACAATGAACTCGGTTGTCCTTGTATCTGATAACTTCAATCTAATTAACTGCTGTTTTTTTGTCCCTTGTTCAATTATGATTCAGAGCCACCTTCATGGAAACAAGGCCAAGTGCGCTATATAACTCCTGACCTGGTAGTGCTGGCTCCCCCCTTGTAAATGCTCAGTCCGTCAGGCAAAGTTTCAAACTGCTCAGGTTATCTTGCACGTGCTTGTGCGTGTGTGTGTGTGTGTGTGTGTGTGTGTGTGTGCCCGCAAGCGGTGTGGTGTACCTTCTTTTGCTTGTACCATTGTACCACAATTATCTAAGTGTCACCGGTGTGTGTTTGTGTGCAGCATGCTGAGAGTTTGTGCTGGGTGAATGTCTGCTGTGATGTCTGGTGGCTGATTTCTTTCACTTGTATGCAAATGTGTCACAGTTTGCGACACATTTGCAGTCACTTTAACATGTTTACTGCACCCTCTGTGAAACCTCTGCATGTGCTTCTATGTGTGCAAGTGTGTGTATGTGTCTGTGTCTACAGTATGTCTCCATCCTCTATGCTGAAGCTGGATCTGCGGCTGGAGTCGACCGAGGCCTCAGGGGACAACGCAGAGAGCAGCGGGTCTCCACCCATTGGGGACAGGGGCTCATCCATCATCAGGAAGCCCAGCTCGCCTCTCCTCCCTTCGACGTCCAGTCCACCCAGGTCGCCCAGCCCCGATATGCCGTCTGAGAAGCCAGGTATACTATCGCACAAGTCCAGCGACTGGGCATAGTCAAAGGGCTGGGAGCTGCCTACAGCTGGGAACTGGATGGGCGCCTGCTGCTGGAGATGCTGGGGGAGCTGCTGCAGCTGCCTGGGCTGTTGCTGGCCCTGCTGAAGTTGAAGGTGGTTTTGCGGGAGGAAGTGGTGCTGGTGGGGCTGGGGCTGAGCCTGGTTCCGGGGAAGGTGCAGGGGCTGGTGGTGGGCTTGTATTTGGGGGTGAGAAAGCTTATCCTCTGGGCTGAGCTCTTGTTTTATATAGGGAGACATCAGGTCGGACAGGTTCAGGCCAGAGGGAGAGGTGTTGGGCAGGCCATGCAAGTGAGCCTGCATCTCCAACTCCTGTAGACAGTGGGCAGAAGGCAACATTATCTCTAACAGTGCATTTGCTCTGTATGTGTGTTTCTGTAAAGTAATGTGAGTGTGTGTTACCTGGATGCGTAGCAACAGTTGTTTGTTGGTCATCTCCATCCTTTTGAAGTTGTTTTCCACCTCTCTGCTCCTATGCATATCCTTCTGCATCCGTTTGATGTACTCCACAGATGCCCGCAATATAGTGCCTTTGTTCCAGCGCACGTCACTATGCACACAGTAAAGTAAAAACAAGCAATCTCTAAACGTAAGTAACTTTCATTAACTGACAACAGTTCCATCTAAACTGAAATCCTAGCACAGCAATGTAACTCACAGGTCATTGGTTTTGGGGATCATGGTGCCCAGCTCTTTGATACGATCATTGATGTTAAATCTCCTCCTCCTTTCAACTATAAAAGAGGAAACCAACATGAAGGGTGGGGTACAATAGGAAGTGACAAAGGTAAATACATTATAATGGCAATATTACAGAGGTATAAAAAATGCTTAAACAATAAGTTAAGGAAGGCAGATTGTGGCCTTTGGAACAACAACAGTCAATTTTCAAGTTTCTATATGATCAACACAGACAGCAAGGGGTTAATTCTGAAGCTCATACTTAGGTTTGGCACAGTAGTTTATTGAAAAGTACAGATTAGTGCATATATAGTAAAGGGCAAAAAGGGACACACATGCACACACACACAGTCACAGGCAATTACACCTAAATGCAAGAACAGCAGAAATGACCAGGTTAACCATCCACCCACTAGTTGCACTATCAGCTAAATCGGTGAGAGGATGTGTAAAACAGTTTTTTGCAAGAGACAGATTATGGTGTCTGTGTGCATGTGTGCGTGCATTTGTGTGCGCTATGGGCACACATTTCTAAGGATATGTATAGTGTTGGTGTGGGAAACAGAGAAAGTAGACACTTTGGGCAGAAAGGCTGCAGGTGAAGAGACTTACTCAGATTGTGGTTGTCTTTTTTCTGTCTCTCCTTGGCCATGGCTCGGGCTTCTGCATCGTTGCAATATCAAAATGAGATCAACAAATGGCTGCGACTCTGCAGCGTCTCAACAGAAACAGCTATTTTTCATTGATGTCTTTATATACACTCAGTGAGAAACAGTCCTCAATATAACTTACACATATAGAACATGTTAGTAGTTATTACAACAATGTGAAAAACGTTGACTTTCGCACCTGACAGTTCTCGTTTGACGGTCAGGTTGGCAGGACAGGAGTTACTGGTCATGGCAATTGCTGGCCCCTTCATCCCAGGACCCGTGTACACATCCAGGTGACTGCTAGACAGAGGGAGCTGAGGACACATGCACACAACAAGTACACACACTTAGAAAACATTCTGCTCATGGATGTAAACACTTTAATATAAGAAGGTTGATGCAATGTGGTCTCGTCTGAAACAACGTTAGAGTGTGAATAGAGTTGTATGAACTGTCTATGAACAGATGTGTTGTCAAAGTTTAGATGTTCAATGAGTTCTGCTTGAATTCTACTCAGCCTAAAACCTTAAAAACGTCTCATAAAGAATAGAACCAAGACGATAGCATCCTTCTCCAAAGTCCTCACTGATGATGATGATGACAAATTGCATACATCAAATTTGTGATTTAACTATGATATAAGCAGGAGGAATGTTGAACTTAAGTTTCACTGATGTTAAATCATACCAAAGTTTCTGATATGACTAATAAAGCTTCACACACCTTGGTGAGCACCTTTATGGAGGCAGTGTTCATGTTTAGTGTGCTGTAAGGAGCAGATAACAGGAGATAATGCAATAATATCACACCTGAGAGTGGCCTGCCAAACACACAGCAATCATTGACTATCACACTCTCTATCTTATCTCTCTTTATAGCTTGATTCTCTAACCTGCCTTCTCCAGCTCCTGGACACACACCTGTGCAAGAGGTCTCCTAACTCTTGCCCTTTAGACTTTGGGTAACAGCCGTGATATGGGTTTGTATGGACTCTTAAAACGACATGATTTCCTTTTAATTGTGTAGTTTAATGAGTGTGATGGACTTTTTATGCCCCTATCGTCGACCGTATCGCACTGCCCCGAAGCGAGGGCAAATGTAACGCTGCTAATGAGGCCTGAAAGATAAAGAACTCAAAAGGAAAAGATACCTTATCTGCAGGCTACTGTGTGAGCTGTGAGATCAAACACCTTCGCACACGAAAAATACACACTCACCTCTGCAGGTTGACGTCTGTATGTAAATCACATGATGTATTCAAATTCTCAAGATATGAAGAATGCAAAGATGAAACATAAATATTAGCTTAAAAGCTGGATATAATATTCATTATACATTATACTATGATTAAGAGCTACACTTGGAAAAAACCTAGAATGACAAGTATATCCATTATAGATATACTATGTTGTAGATAAAGCTGCATATCACTTGTACGTTAAGTTGCTTAAGTGAGCAAAGTAACATCTTGCACTGGATAGTTGATCTTGGGCAATTTTCATTCTCAAATACTGTTAGGATTATTTGTAGAAAAATGCAGCTAAATAACACGTAAGTTGAATTTTTAAAAATAAGTCTGCATCATGTTAAGTGACAACATACCATATTAAAATAATACAAAGCCTCACAATGTCACGCTTTATTCCAAATTTCTACTGATGATATAAGATTCAAAAAGACATTATTTGAAACAAACTATTTCCCAGCCTCCTCCTCCTCCTGCACTGACCTCCCAAGTCCTGGCAGGGAAGCCCGCCCCTCAACATTTAACTCAATTGAACAAGCAAGGGAATCAGTAAGGCTCAGTGTAACCATCCAGCCATACACACAAAAACATGCGCACGCACGGATGCACGCACGCACACACGCACACACACACACACACACACACACTGACACACATTTAAGAGTTGAACTGCTCACTTGTGCCTGGTATTCAGTGGTGTTCCCAGCTCTTACTAAACTTTGAGATTCCAAGAATTCCATGAGGTTTGCCGCTTTAATCCGCATCAGGATTAGCAGGTGAGTTTTACTTACTAGTCTGTCAGTTGGGAATAAGGCTCTAAAGTCTGGTTTCCAGTGTGTTTGAACACAAAACACTGCTCCACATCAAACTTTACAAATGTTCTGAAACGGCAGACCTATGGCAGAGCTGTGTTTTTTATCTCAGTCAAGCTATTGGGCTTGCACACTGATTATCCTGAGAGTTGATCAATCAGTGTGATGTTAAACATGCACACACACATAGACACAGCCACGCATGCACGCACACACACACACACGCACGCACACAGATTAAACCAATCAATCAATCACAAAGGACATACAACCAGATAAAGCTACAGGAGGCTGCACACCCCCCCCCTCTTTTTCGATCACACACACAAACATTATACTCCACATCAACTCAAACTCGGGAAACATTCCTGATTCCAGTGCAGAAACACACATCCACACACAAATATGAAAGAACTTTCAGATACTGACCCTCCTCCACTCCGCCGCCCCTGCCATGGCTCATCTTATAATCAGAGACCTGAGGCTGGGAGTTAGAACTGCCACTGCACCCGTCCAATTGTGGTTTACTCCGAAAAACAAAAAACCTATACCCCACAATGGGAATCAATAGCTCAAGCAGTAGGACGAACACAAAACTCTTACCAGCTGAATCTGTTCTCCTTCAATAACTTCCACAATGGCATAAGTCTTATTCATCTCCTTCATCCTCTACTCCTTCCCTCACTGGGCCACCGGGCTCTTTCTTCTTCGCTCTCAGGCACGAGCAGCACACAGAGCTCTCTCTGCCTCTCCTGCCCCTGTCCTGGGAGAATGACCTCAGCGGCACCGATCCTGTCTTTCTTCTACCTCTGCTCCCCACCAAACAAGAGTGAACTTTCCCCTAACTGGACTTTCAGCCTGTTTTCCCCTTGCACATATTGCACTCATCCCCCTTTCCCTCCTCCCTCCTTTGCCTCCCCCCTCCTCCTCCACCTCCCTCTCTGTCCGGACGTCTTGTAAACAAGTTGAACTCTAACTCCTGGCTGTTTAATTGTTAATTTTCTGAGTTTATTCCCTCAAACACTGAGCGCTGTACAGTCCTTATCTAACATGTCTTCCAAACAGTCTAAACATGTCCAACACAGTTTAGGGCTAGAATGTTTGGGGCTTAAGTTAGTTATACACTTTTACATGTTTGTATGTGTGTGCATATGGGTGCATAAAGACAAAACCTATTGCTTCATGTCGAAACATGTCGGACAGGCTCACAACCAAGACAGCAACGGCTGGATACAACACTGAACCTTAATTACACGATCATCAATACACTCAACTCCTCCATAAATGAGAAGTGTGACAGAGACAGACACTACGTACACAGCCCTGAGGTAAATGAGGGTTTAGAGAACTAGAAGTCTGAACGTATTGTCTAAGAAAAATGTGTAAAGTCATCTAAACCTCTAAGAAACACATGCATATAGTATATTATACTGTAATTTGTGATGTATTCCTAATGTATTCAACAATCAAATAAACAGTACAAAGCATGAAATGTCACTGTAATTAGTTATTTGACATAAAAAACAGACTAAAATTGCTGCTAAAAAATAGTGAATAACTTCAAACTTTTGATTGACCTGTGGTAATGCTGGTTGTATCTTTACCTCTGAAACTGTAAAAGTGACCTGCAGTAATTGACCTGAGTTGATCACCTGTTTAAGTTTCCCGACCACCACTGCTACAGTTGGTTGCCTGTTAATTCAAAGTTTATTAATAATAAACTTATCACTTGTCTAAATTGACCAAATTCCACACTGCACTTCCTTTGGACCTTAACAATACACATGCCAAGTATGAAGACTAAGAAGAGCAGTCCGTATATAGACGGACAGAATCAGATTTCTGGAACAGAACTGAACAGATTAAAGAAATAAAACTGAAGAGATCTATAAAGTGCATGTCATGGTGTGTTTGCCCCCTCTGTTTTTGCTTGACTTACTGTGTTGGGCATCTGGACAGGGTCAATGTATGCCTGAATATCATCGTAACTGGACTGCATGCTGATGATGTCATCAATAACCTCATCCATCTGAAAAAAAAGAGATTACCTATGTGGTTATGAATAGCTTAATGAACCATAATGTCTGACTTTAAGACTGCACTGGATATACTGCAGTGAAAACACTGGAACCACTCCTGCATTTATGAAAGCATCAAAAACCTGATGGCATAGAGGCCTGCATAGGAACTTGCCTTAAGGAGCAGGCACTCGAGAGAAACCATGACTTATTTGTCACTTAGGCAAGAAAGTAAAACAATTTTCTCTGAGTGACAGAAATAAGTGTGATCAAGTGCTGGAGGAGGAGAGTTGGTCAAAGTCTGCCGAGTTCAAAGGGCTTCGGATTCTGCTGTTCCCCTGTCACTTGTTAATCTGTAATTACTGTTGCAAAGTCATAATGAAGCGTTTAAATTCCGATGATAGCCAGCGTCAGTTAAAGCCAGTTAGTCAACACATTCATTTACAAGCCAAGTGTATGCACATTAACACCAGTGCATTTACAAACACCACTCCAGCCTACCAAGATCAATTAAATCATTATGATGCTTTCATAAACCATGGAGATGATGTCGATTCTGGGGTAATATTCAAACCTCATAATTTTATATAGGAGTGTCATTAAGTCATATTTTAGGGATATTTGTTCAATTTGCCTCTTGTAAAATGCACTTTATAACATAATGTTTATTACGCCATGGTCTAACCAGACACACAGGCGACTACCTCATTCTCGTGGCTGGAGCTGATGTTGAGCATGGCCATGGGGCTGTTGGGTGCACTGTTGCCAGACAGGAGCTGCTCGGTGCGCATATGTGGAGAATGAAGGGGCGGGGGGGCAGATGCAGACCCCCCTGTGGGTCCCATTTTTGTGGGAGAAGAGGGTGGAATCAGGCCTGCGGCTGCATGGACTGTCTGGTGACAGAGAGGGGGAAAAGAGAGGTGATGGAGTTAATTTGTAATATAGTACTGACATAGATAAATGTGATGGACTGCTGACCATATATAGACAGAGCTGTTTTAAAGGTGGGGTAAGCAATTTTAATCTGGTATTCTTTTTGCTGCTCACGCTCTGTTAGCTCTATGTTGTGTTTGGGCGTTGGAAAAAATCTGGTTCAAATAAACTTTGGCTCAGTATTAAGGGAAACAAAGAAAGCTGGGTGACTTGAAAAGCACAATGTTGTTGCAACAACAAGGATATTTGTGCTTGTGCACAGGACAGGGTGGGGTGAAGGGTGGGAATGGTCACAAACATTATATGTTAATGTACCACTGATTCTCTGTATATCAATGTTTTCTGCCTTCAACTACCTAGATAACGTACACGGTTACTACCAAAACAACTACTGTAACAACTACTGTTAGCCACAGGACATTTTACACACTATCATTCTCACAATAATGATCCAAATGCTGATTGCTGAAGCACAACACCTCACCCAAAATAGCGAAAAGGGGGAAAGACCCGCAAGAACATCTGTGAGGTTATCAATGTTTCATTGGAGACCACCGGGAGTTGAAAGGGATGGAAAGGGATGAAGAGGTTGATCTGTTTCTGTGTGTCAGGTGTGTAACATTCATTTATTTTGCTCAATTGTGGTTCTGTGAATTAACATGTAAGTATTGTGTTGTCCCGGTTGCTAATGTTTGAATTGCTTACCCTACCTTTAATGCGAGACAAACTAGCAATTAACAGTACAACACTGTCAGGTACCTGTTTGGTGGCATGGGTTGTCGAAAGGTATTCTTTCACCTGTTGCCTCTGTGACTGTCGGATGTGGTAGTCTGTGGGGTTCTCGAGGTGAGTCTGTACCTGTATGAAAGATGGACAGAAAAGGCTGAAATCTATTTTTATTCCACTGATTATGTACATCCAATCAAACACTGACCCAATTCTTTATTGAGTCTCTTGATGATTCCATTTTTTATATTCTTTGGTGAAGACATAAAAAACAGCTTTTATACACCAAAAATGACAGTTTTAATGCAGGTTAGTTTGGTATAGTTTAAAATAGAAATTTAAACACAAAACAGGACATATTGAGTATTCAGATGTACATTTGTTTATCCCCGTCACTGAACAGTGATTGGACAAGGACATAGCAGCATTAAGTCGGTAGTAATGCCTAAACGGGTAAAGCCACACTAAACCCTGTGGTGTGGCTACAAAAAGCAATGGGCTGGCCTCATTCCTTCACATCAAAGAGTAAAGCTCAGTAGAGAGCAGGGCTGCTCCCCATTGATACACAGGAAATCTTCAACTCCTCAGCCCTACAAACCCCCAACCAGATTATATCAACAAGAAACTTTGCAATAACTACCAATTTCTACCAAGTCCTTCTACTTTGTTAGTGATTATATTTCTATTTCCAACAAATCTTGACACTCTGGATATGTTTTATTGGCAATCAGCTGTTTGGGCCTATAAGGCAGAGGAACAGCTATCGACCTGTCCGGCCCAGCTCTGTCAGGATAGATGAAGTCCAAAGAAACACAGCTCAGGAGGTATGACAGGCTGTGAGCCTGTTGGACAGACAGCTCACTTTATCTACAACATAAAGGGAAAGATACTGACACAACACTTCAGTTCATTCTCAACATTCCACACAAACACCCACACACACATGCATGCATGCAGAGTCTATAGTTACTGGTGGATACAAACTGTAGATTTATGGTTCCAAAGAACATAAAGCAAGACACGCACAAGCACATAATGGAGTATTGCACAAAGCCATACACAACACAAACACACAAAATAAAAGATAAGGACCCACGGAAGCATCTATGGAATCAGGCAAAATGTCACTTCAGCTTTATCAGTCCCAGTCAGAGCCAGACTTTCTAAATCACCCCTGTCTGTCCTATCACAAAACATGTCAAACCTCTCTTATCTCTGCTCCCTCTTCTGTCTCCCTTCCCTGCTTGCTGCTCCACCACATTTTTCTCTCTTTGCATTTCTCAAATCTGTGCTTGATTTTTACCTGTGTGGCAGAGCTGCTAAGTGAAAGAATGTGACATCCAAGTTTCTGCTGCACTGTGCTATGCTGTCTCGGTAACATGTTAGTGGATTAACGGAAGTTCTGCAGTATCTTGTCCTTTTGAAACTCCTGTGAACCAACATATTTTCTCTCTTATGCCAATCCCCTGACTACAATCTGAAAAGCACTTTGTCTTTTTGTTGCAGTTGCATGTCAACCTGAAGTGAGTCACAAAAATGTCACTACACTCATTATTTGGGGACTGGGTGTTCCGATGAAATCTCTGTTCTTTTTCCTGCCACAATAATTCCTTGTCAATAGATTGTGTATAAGTCATGCATTGAAAAAGCACTGCATTTACATACTAAACAGTAGTGCTAAATGTATTATCTTGTGATGGGCATTTTTCAACATCCCCGCAATTTTATTGGCTCATTGTGAAATTGGGTAGATAAGAAATAGATAAAGAATAGAGTCTATTGATACTGAAAACCATCTGCTGTAACTCTACTGACCTTGAGAACCTCCACAGGGACCTGCATGCTTTGGTAATGCTGTGGGGTGCTGATGGCCGGGGTGGGTGCAGGCGGCCCGGCCATGCGATGACGCATGTAAGGCTGCAAGACTGCATTCTGCTGCCGCTGCTCCCGTTCCCGCTGCTCCTCTTGCTGCAGCTGGTCTCGCATCAGCTGGACACACACACACACACACACACACACACACACACACACACACACACACACAGACAGACACACACACACACACTTGTTCAGAATCATAAGTAGTGAAGAGTTTGATTTCTAACGTNACACACACACAAACACAAACACACACACACACACACACGGAAAAATGTATTTAACTTTGACTTTTTAGTTTGGTTCATTTCCAATTTACTAACGTTGAGGAGGTGGTATTTATAATCTATAATGCAGTCAACACCAGGGGGTGATCGAAATGATTTGGCTTAATATTTGGGGAGCTGTCATGTAGTCCATCTTTATATACAGTCTACACTCAAATAGCATGGCCAAATGTACCAGTGAAACATTTTTTTTGCATGGTGTAGATGCCCTTAAAACAAATGGCACATGAATACTGACTAGAATACCTTCCTCTCCACTAGCTTCTCAGAAACAAGACAGCAAACACTACAGAGTCTTTAAATAGCTCATAAAGCTATTGAGCTAATAAAAGGCCTGCATGTATATGAGATGATGAAAGGCAGTTGTGTTGTACCTGCATACGCAGCCCGATGCGTGAGGCCATTGCTGGGGGGCGAGGGGGCAGGGGAGGGCGAGCCGGCGTCAGTGCACCGCAGTCCAGCCCGAGAGGTAGACGAAGCTGTTAAGGAGGAGAAAAGGGGGGAGAAATAGTGAGTGAAGAACTAAGGGAGCAAAAGAACAAAGTGAAACCAGGAGTAGGTTTGGTCAAAAGATTTGAAACCCATATCATAAAACTTTTTAAGTGTTCGTTATGCCATGAATTGCATACCAGCTTATTATTAGCTCACCATTACATTCCCTGAGAGTCAAGAAAAAACAAATACCTCAATTAATGTGTTAATGGATTATGGCAGTCAATGCTCCCAGCTGCTGTACAGGTCAAGAAGGAACTCCTGTGCTGACTTTCTTTCTTTTTTATAGCTTGTAAATACAGAAGTTTATAAGACATATAAATCAAAGGCTGACCGCTTCCACCTGTCAGCTCAGAGACTTCGGCCTTTTCTACTGGTGCCACTAACAGGTATGGATGAAACATTTATCTTTATGCGCCACTAGGAGAGCTGGATTCACTATGCAACACAAGACAGCACAGTACAATAAATAATATAGTCATCTATGCTACTCCCATAACATAAGGAAAAACGACACACAAATTACCACTCATGTATCTGCTGGTAATATCAATGTAAGTAAACACAAATAAAAAAACTAAATTCTAAGAGAAGATAATATGGTAAACATCTTAACAATAACTAGAATTACCACACTGTGGTTGTATGCCTTCGCCAACCAGTGCAGTTTCTGTGGACATACTTCTACATACTTTATTTCCATTTAAAGGTCACTGTAGTCGTTACCTTTGACAACTGAAACACAGTAACATGAGTTCATTGTGACCTTGACCTTTGACCCCCAGGCACTAAAATCTAATCAGTTCATATTTGTATTCAAGTGAGAGTTTGTACCAAATGTGAAGGCATTCCCTCAAGTGGATCTTAAGACATCACGTTCAAGATAAACATAAACATACTTTGTAAGGCCACCATGACCATGACCTTTGACCCTTGGCTACCAAAATCAAGAGAGTTAATCTTCAAGTCCAAGTGAATGTTTGTGCCAAATGTGAAATGAGTCCTTGATGGGGTTTCACCTTTAAAAAAACCAAGTGAATATTATTGTTTTGTTATACAGAATGTACTTTAGTTCTAAATGGCCACACAACTCAACATGGCTTAGGGTTAACCCAAAACAGGCTAAAATCTGCATATTCTGGTAAATGGTGTCATCTACCCTTGTGGTCAAAATAGGGAAGTGGGTCGAAGGATATAACAATCACGCCCCCAATTCTGTTCCTCCAAAAAGTGTCAAATTGAGGAAGATTTCCTCGATGGTGGAGAGGTCATGAGGGAGTCATGTGGTCTTGTTGTTCTTGCATGATCATATGAGCAGAAAACCATGGGGACACCCCATCTCCCCATAAACCACCTCCTCTTTTCTCTCACGTATACAATGTTATGTATACAACACACACACACACACACAC